ATGTACCCTGTACCACACGGGTAGGGTATGAAGAGAAGTAAAAAAAAAATTAAGAAAATGTTAAAAGAAAAGAAAGAAAAAGAAAATTCATGTATAAATAAATAAGAGAGTGAAGAACAAAAGAATGCACGCATTTAGCACGGAGGCACATCGGCACAAATCCGAGTTGTAAGTGAATCCCTAAGCAATTGCAAACACACCAAAGCTTGGCAACCGGATAGTAGTAAACAAATGCAACTAATTTCGAATCGTAGTAAAATGTTAACATTACAAGTCGGTAGTTTAAATACGACATAGGCAAATCGGACGTATTAAGGATAAGGAATTCAAAGAAACCGATCTTGGGATTAAATGATAAATGTCATTCGACGACTTTGAACGGATTGAAAAGTGCGTAACGATATTTTCATTGACTAGCGAGTGAGAAGCGATTCGGAACATTAGAGTATACCTCGCCAAGTAATGTGAATTGATAGTATACTTGATTAACTGACTTAAAAAGGAAACACCATGAACAAATAAATCTACGTTTCTCAAATGATGGTAAGACTAACAGAAGCAATCTATTTCCCTAAGGAGGCAAGTAGGCAACCGGGTTCCTTCTCAAATCTCTAAGGGCAAACAGCAAGAATTGCTTTTGAACAGATTTATTTGAATTTACGTAACATCTACACACCAAAGGCATACGCAAGTATTGGTCTGACTGGTCTGATCCAGATCAGCAATTTAATATACAAATTTATTTTAATGAGTATGAAAGATGTGGATCTATGTGTTGTATCGCATCTCCCATGAAAAGTAAACGTTTGCCTGGCAGTGAAACTTAATTTTTATTATTTTATGAAAAAATATAATAAGAATCACAAGTTTTTTGAAAGAATTTATTAAAAATTAACTTTAGTAAATATTTGTTTTGGATTTGTTCACGCTTTACCTTCTTTTTCCTATGAACATTATCGCGAAAAGCTAGGTTGTACAAGGTAATCATATATAATTTTAATCATTTATGGCTAGCATTAGCAGAAGACTACTATGATATTTTATGGTGTTGTACCCCACACCACTTGTGGTATAGCGTATATTAAGTTAGAGCGCTCGTAAGTAACACGCAGACCACCTTTTATTATATCGATCGATTCAGAATCATAATCTGAATTGATCTAAATCTGGCCATCGGTCTGGCCATGTAAATTTCAAACTGCAGCTCACAACTTTTGAGATGTTTCGTTGAAATTAGATATAGTGACGTGGTTTGACTCAACGACGAACGTTATTGAAAATGACTCGTATGGCCTTACTTTAACACCCTATTCCGAAAAGTCTTTATATGGAACAAAATTATAATCTTCAAAATTTCTCGGCCAAGGAGGCTAAGTAGTATTATTTCGGCATTCTAAATTGTATGGAAACTTTGGACCGGCTGGAGCAATTTTTGAACTGAACGAAAACTGAAGTTCATACGACAAAACGGTAAAATTTTCAATGCTGCCCGATGAAAATTGTATGATAACAGTAATTTAACATGAAAAAAATTAAATGTACCAAGCTGGCACCAACTCGGTCTATTTTTTGGATCCTATCCTAATAAGAAGTTTCTCCGTTGTAGAGAAGAAAAGTCGAAGTTTTAATGATCGAAAGTGAAATCTACAAAATTTGGACCAGCTGCGCCTATTGTTGGATCCTGTCCTATGTCAGGATTAAACTTGTACTACACAGGTTGCTTTTTGGACCTTAGATAGTATTCAGAGTGTAAGCACATTTTCATGATCGTTTCGCGTTTATGAGATTTGCAATGCGATCGATTTCTAATCTATATTTATGGATACTATGGATGCTGGTGTTGTAACGGGTCATTGGCCAGAATAGGAAACCATGCATATTCTTATCACAATTTCTTTGACTTTATGTCAATTTAAATATTGCAAGGGAAAGGTCACAATCAATATCACAAAGTTGTCAAGTCTTGCAAATCACAGGCGAAGGACAAAAAATCTTCTGACTAGTGACGTTTGTATGATGTTCCTCAGAATACGGTAAAACGCAAGCGGTATATTCTGGCGTTATGACCTATCATAAGTCACATGTTTGTTCATCAAATGATGTTTCTTTTCTTTTTGTTATAGTTTTTTGATTTTGTGTAAATTTTGATATTCTGAAGTAACAGTCACCATAAAACACTCGAATATTACTTTTATTTTCAAACAAGAATATCAAGTCAGGCAAATCAGGGACAAAAAAAAGAACCTCGTAGTATGGGACGTCTTTGCGTTGTCGCCCGGAATGCGAGTTGCTGAAGTGGTTACAAATATAGCAAAGACGGACATATTCGCATTAATTTTGCGGACTTTCAAGCAGAGAGACTAGAATACTGTACTGACTTCTAATGCTCTTGTATATTGATGTTCCTAAAGGAAACAGATAATTATATAATGCAAGTAATTATATTCACGACACAAGTCTACCGAGTTAACTGTTTTATAAATACATGTATGTGTGCGATATGAATGCTTATCGTAATACAAAAGCATTATTTATATTACGTCATAATACTTTCTCGTTTGTGTAAATCGCACGCGTAATAGGTTTGCAAGTTCACCATGAGATTAAGTTGTTTCTTATGTTCAGATAAATTATAGTAAACAACTCGCCTGCATTGTAGCAAACAAACTCAATTTTTGTTTACGTTCCATAGAAGTGCATTTCATAGAGGTGCATTTCGTAGAGGTATGTTTCATAGAGGTAGGTTTCATGGAGTTACGTTTCATAGACGTTTATTTACGTTCCAGAGGTACTTTTCATAGGGATCATAACTTTTGTTTACATTCCATGGAAGTCGTTTTGATTGGTTGAATTTTTTCCTCACATTTGGAATTTTTGTTTATGCCGTGATCTTGTTGTTGAATTTTACAATGTTGTTTATTTTCTGATTTTGCCGGCGCACGTGTTTAGAAATTGCGTACGCATAGCATTTTTACAAGTGCAAAATCTCAATGAAAGTAAATATAAGTAAAAAGGCGATAGAAGGCTACTATTAAATACCATACACCATTTCGTTTAATAATGATTCATTCATACAATGCGTTTTCAAAACAAGTCGTTATACGGAGAGCAGTCGAAAAAACAGAGCAATCTGAATCATTTTTTAATAGAAGTCGTCATTGGGTCAAAAGACGTCACCCTAGCAAATTTGATCAATTTAAAAAAAAAATTGCGATCTGTAGGTAGAGCGCAAATATGCAAGACGAATAGGCGGACAGACTAATGTAGAATCATTTTCTGTATCGATCGGCCTAATAAAAAGTGGGTCTATTTCAAGGTTTTCTGGGTGTTTCACATCCACAAACTACATGAATTAAGCATAATGAAAGAATTTGTGAAGGGAAAAGTTAGTGCATTTGTTGTCAATTAAAAATTAAATATAAACAAGTAAGAGCATTGTAGTCGGGCAAGGCCGAACTTTAAATACCCTACACTAATTTATCCAGTACAATTATACGCAACAGGATACTTTTCATGACATTCCGAATATTGGAGTACGCCAAAAACATCATATGACGTAATCCAAATTGAGCGAATTTTACTTTCCTTCCCAAAAATTTGATTATTTTTCAGCTTCCGTCATAGAAAATTATGATTTTACTCCATATAAGGACCTGCTTTCCATTTATGTAATGGTTTAAAAAATAGACTTAGGTGATTTTAATTCTCTATTGTTAATTTTTTGGTTACTTTGCTACTACGAAATTTATTACTTTGCTAATAACATTAAAACTTTTTCTAAAGGACTTGCTGTCGTGGAGAAATTTTATCTGGAGTGGGATTCAAGAAGTAGACTCATCTTGTTAAATTTGGTCCATTCAATTTTTATGTCAAATTACCATCGTGAAATAATTTTCGTCATAAAACATTAACAATTACGCCTTTTTAGCGTATAAGGGCTTACATATCATGAGAACCCTTATATATGGTGGTATCTAAAAAATAGACGAATGTGGTCCTATTTCGGTAAGGTTAATTTCTTTGTCAATTTACTACTTTGCAGTTGTATTTATCATAACCTATTAGAAATTAGGCCTTTTTATCACATAAAGATTATATGGGATTTGGTCCAAAAAATTTCCCCAAACGAATCCCACTTTTCACACCGAAATACTATTACTCAGCGATTTTTGCCGAGCAATTCGAAAAATTATAATTGAATTGACTTTTCGAAAGAAGACATTATATCGAGAATGGTTGAAAACGTGAACCAATCCGAACCATCTGCAATAGGCATGGACATTAGGTCCAGACACACCAGTGTGCCAAATTTGATCAAAATATCTTAAAAATTGAGACATGTAAGTTGAACAAATGCTTACATGTCGAGACGTCAGACGGACAGACGAACAGACGAGCTTGAATCGATTGAAACTCACGTTCCGAGACGATCGCTATAATAAAAGTTGGATCTATCTTAATTCCTTCTGGATACTAAGTACATGCGCACAAATTTATGTACCACAAATGGTGTAGGGTATAAAAACTAAGGTACGAGCTGTAAAATTTGAAACAAGGAGAGGGGACTACTTTCCAAACGCAAATAACTTGTTCCAGAGTTTTTTGTTTTTTTTTTTTTCTATTTTCCACTTTCTTCTTCTTCTAAATTCTTATAACAGAATTCATTTCGAAAATGATTTACGATTAAAAGAAATTTATTATTTAAATTCAAATAGTCGTTGCCGGTAAATATTTGAATGTATGCATGCTTGTGTGCTAAGTAGATATTCGCCCCGCACAGATAATCGTGAGGATGTTGTTTGTGTTACACCGCAAGAACACACAGGTATCTACGTTTGTAAATTATCTAAGAATAAAATCATAGCGTTTTCTTTAAATACTAGCCAGACGTTTTTGTTACGCTCACTGTCAAGTGTTAACTTTTGTTATACATTAAAATAATAAAATTAATAAAATAAAATATCCTTTTAAGGAGAAGTGTAATTTTATAGAAAAAAAAAAATACAAAAAGGATTTACATTAAAAGAATTAAACAAAATTAAGGTAAATAAATGGGGTTTAAAAGCCTTTAAACAAAAAAAAAAAATGTATAAAATGTGTTAGTTTTAAGAACAAAAAATCCTTTTTTTTTTTTTTTTACGTAGTGCATAGTGGATCCATAAAGTGTTGTATTCGCATGAACATCGTGAGACCATGAATTCGAAAATTTTTGATTCAATTTCAGAGATCAATTCTGATAGATCGGGAAAATAGTTTAAATATTTAAAAGACGTATCTCGGAACTAAACGAATTATTTTATTACATTTACATCTACATAACTAAAAACAATTTTTTCAAAAAATTTAACTTTTGCTCACTTGCACGTATTCACTTTATTGCGAGCTTTAAGTTGAGCTTGTTTTTTTTTTAGTTTACTGTGATATAAACCAATTTTATAGAAAACCCGTAACGCACATTATACAAAAAAAAGAAAAAATCATCGAATTTTTTTAATCAAATTTTTTTTAAAATAAAACAAAATTCTTTGGAAAATTAAAAAAAAAAAAAAAACTGAAAAAATTATTGTTATTATTATTATTATTTTTTTTTAAATACATATTTAATTTACAAACTATCTAAAAAGATAATAAGTAAATGCTCTATCAAGATGAGAAAAATAACAAAGTTTATTGACCCTAATGAGGATAATATAACGATATAGATATAATGTTTAGATAGATAAAAAAAAACTGTGTAAACTTTAAAAGTTTATAAAAACAGTTTAAAAAATAAAGTTCAATTAAAAAAAGCAAATATTTTATAAAAATTTTTGGGATTTTCGAGATTTCGTAGTAAACCAAGCAAAAATACTAGCTCGAAGCAACCATTGCTATCCCTTACGTGTCCCTTAATTGTTTTCATCACAAATACAATAATTTTTTCACACTTTTACGGAAAAAAAAGATGAAAAGTTTTATAAATGTTTGGCTTTCTTACTTATGAAGTAAAAAGTAAGCAGAGAGAAATTTCTTTTTAATAATTTTTCAAAGACAAAATGAAGGCGTGAGGACTATCGCGATATAATATTGTATATCCTTAGTCTATCAGGTTTCTCGGTTGAAGATTGCAAATTTCTCACTTAGCATAGGCCATTAAGCTTTATTTAAGGATATGAAAAAATTTTCGCTGAGTTTATATATGTTATATAATCGAATATTGTTCAGAGAATTGACAAGATTTCATTTATAAACAAGTAAAAACACAATAGTGGAACACGGGTCCCAATTAAATGCGACCATAACGACATTTCAAAATGAGGCGTTATATAGAAAGTGATCCGCTTCCGAATCCGTTTCAATAGAGTTTGTGCTTGGCTCTAAACGCGGCATGGTACTAAATTTCATCAAAACAAGAAAATTATTATCTGTAAGATCTGCAGGATAAAATAGCAGAGGTGGACAGACGGACACACAAAGTTAAATCGGTTAAGAATAATTTAAAAAATTGTTGATTTTCGCATATAACGATTTTTCAAAAATAAGGCATTATATGAGAAGCGGTCGAAAAGGCGAATGGATCCGGATCTTTGTCAAGGAGTTCATCCTCGTATCAAAGCGCGTCATTGCACCAAAATTATGAAAATATTTCAAAAATTGCGACCTTAAGATTGAACACAAGAATACATGGACAGACCCCGGACGGACAGACTGACAGACAGACAGGCTTAAATAGATTGAGCAAGTGACTTCGAATCGAACGGTACAATGAAAGGTGGATTCTTTTCAAGTCCTTCCGACCACGGCATACATTCGCACATACTTAACATAACCTTACATGAATATTTTTTTTTTTCTTTGAAACTCGTTCAATTAAGGAGTTACTTAATAAAGAAATCATGTCTTGTATACTGTTTATATAATAATTATCTAGGGTATAGCTCCAAGAGAATATAACATGCATAAAATCATTTCAATAACACATTGACATTGGCGTTTAACTAGATTACTCTCAATACCGCAAAATGGTAAAAGTCCGCATAGTCTCTCATAAACATTGCACATTAAATAGTTACCTACTAAACATAAAATATTGGAAGAATAAATCGTGATAAAAGCAAAAACAAAAAAAAAAACTCTTAATAGTTTCCAATAGTAGTTAAGTATAGCTTGCGATTGAGCGGAGTATTTAAAAAAAAAAAACCAAATTTGAATTTTTGATAGATAAAAAGTATAATGTTCGGTAAAATCTACTGCTTTATAAAATAAATTATAATTGAATCAAATATATTTTAGTTTGATCACTAGTCAACACTATGGGCAAAATTTCATTAAGATTCTCGATGCGTTCCTTTCTGAAAAATCATACCCACTCACAGAGAGTTTCCATAAAAAAAAAAAGAAAAGAAGCAATACATGTGCAATGTTTTACCTTAGTCAAGCTTAATGAAGATTCTCTCTGCTAAAGTTTTCCTTCAACATATGGGAACATTTTCGTGACATATCTTACCGCAAGACGAACAGATTAAAACTGATTGATTTTTTTTTTTGAAATTTCAAAGCCCATAAAACTTAATAAAGGACATCTTTTAGTATATATATATATATATATAACATATTTATATACATACATATATTTATATATAGATGTATATGCATACATATATAACCTTAATATTTATAAAGCTTGTAAAACCACTTTATAGAAAATGATATAAAAGCACAACTGTATGTTTCTATGTTCCTGTATACATTATATACATATGTATTAGAAAGTCATTAAATTTGTTGGCAAGAAAATTATTCGCTTATATTAATAAATCAATCGTAGTAATAGCATTGTGTCCGGAAATTATTAAGTTCATGTTTAATTAACGATCAATTTGAAACACGTGCCAACGTGAAATGAACGTAGAAAAAACTAACATGACTTATGATATGTTTTGATGATAAAAGTTTTTATGCATTCATTTACAATAGATATCGTGAGAAAGACAATGTTTTGAGAATCTTTGAGATCCGAAGTAAAGAAAGCTAAAAACTGAAGTAGAAAGAAACGATGGGTCACTAAGACGACCAGTAATTTTAATTATGTTCCCACAGTAGAGCCGATATTAAGGCTAAATAATGTCCAAATTCAATAGATCAAGCAAGTTAAAACCTTATAGCAAGTCAACTTCAACCGTTGAGGTCTTATTACTCGCTTATAATCGCTTAATGGGAATTCTTTTATGGGGAAAAGTACGAAAAATAGATATCTGACGATGGCATTTATTAAACTTATAAAAGACAAATCCTTACATGCTTACACAGCATAAACATTTTACATTGCGCGTGTGCGACAGTTAGACGAAGCAACGTTCGATACCCCCAAAATTTTCCCAGCGAAGTTCTTTCAATGCTTGCCGAATAATTGAAAAGTAATACTGTCTGCCATTGTTGTGATAATTATCGACGCTTTTCCTGTTGGCCCTTGCAGTCCATTTATTTTGTATTTATTTCACCATGAGCATCAATCCGGGCTTTCCCATCCTTTATGCAACTTCAAGCACATTATACATCGGCGCATTGTGGTCGAGTAATCATTTGGATTTCGATACGTTTCCTTTCGGCTGGATGTCCGTTCGTCATATCTGCGATTCGCAAATTTACATTTTTCTTTAATAATTTTTATGGTATTCAAGTATGAAGTTTCACCCTTCCTCACCGAACAGCATGCAAATGTTTTATGCTATAATTATTGCTTTGTTTCACAATAATGTCATTAAATGAAGTGTGCCGGCCTTCTTTAACTTATTTTGATGAATTTTATGATTGCTTATCCAAAGTATGCCAAAGGCTTTGCAAAACAAACACGGGGGTCAGGAGGCTCGCCTCACAAAGCCACGTATGCCTGCGGGTGTATGATGGACTTTGTTCATAAAGTCGTTGGCATTAAAATTTTCTCAGGAGAGAGTTAATTATACAAAAAGGAATTGACGGATGGCCTTCCCTTTGGCGTATTAATTAAAAAACTCTCCTGAGAATTAATACATGCAAAAATTAAAAAAAGGGATTTGACGGTAAGGCTTTTTCCCCTTTTGCCTATTTACTTTACTTTTGAACATATGTCACGAATGCCGGCGAGTAATGGTGGTAATTGATCAACGGCGCCGTCGAAGCCTTATGGCGGAAGCGAGCGAAATTTTTACCCTTTTTGAACGAATATCGTTGATCAATTTGTGAGTCCTGACTGCTTGTGTGCGGCCCTTCGGGGAGTACTCGTGGTGGTTGTGGTTGGCAAGTTCCTAGCCAAAGTGGAACAGTTGAGTGCAGCTAGGCCTCACCACTGACCAGAGTGGGGTTTATTGTTCCATACACAATAAACCGTTCTGGACTCTGGTGTTGTTTAGGCCCCTACTCTGTGGGGATTGTCTAACTCGCCAGGGGGCGTAGAACGCTTAAAGTGGCTTGGGCCACCGTGGAGTTAAGCCTTTCAGGCAGAAACCCACGTTAAACCCTTCCCACAAATTCTTCCCCACCGAACAGCATGCTAAAGTTTTATGCTATAATTATTGCTTTGTTTCACAATAATGTCATTAAATGAAATGTGCCGGCCTTCTTTAACTTATTTTGATGAATTGCATGGACTTCATCAATGATTGCTTGTCCAGAGTGCGACGCTTTTCTAATGTCAATCTTTTGTATGTTAATGTATCGATTAAGCTTCTTGGGCCTAGCTATCATAAATTTTTTTACAAGCCTCCGAAGTGTTATCGTCTTGCTCGTGTGGTAAAATATATGAAGTTTTCCCAGACAGTTTTCTCATTTTCACCACGCTTTCGAATGAGTTAAAGAATATCGCCATAATTTGTTTTTTTTTTTTTTTAATTATTTAAGTTATGTTACTTTTCGCGCACGCGCCAAGGTAAGACTTGATAGCATCGGTGTTATCAAGGTTAAGTAAGTCTAAAGGTGCTTATGGCAGAAAACGCTATGCAGTTTTTTATTATATTTTTATGTATGTGTGATTGAATTGCTTTAACCAAGTCCCGATAAATTTACCAATAAATTTTGTAAAAATAATTTTTTATTAACTTGACATAGCTGAACATGAACAAAATATAGGAATAAAGGACTTTGTTCCTATTAATTTAATCTTAGGCTCTTATAGACAGCATATCAGCGATCGATTATATGAATGAATAAATTGTACATAAATAAGTATAAACAGAGATGTCCTGGAATATACAGAACGGTTTTTTATAGTTTTGAAATTTCAGAAATGCGTTCGATAGAAGCAGAGGCCACAAATAATTTATTAGTAGGTATTAGAACAGGTTTGTTATTTCAGAAAGGTGTTCGGTAGAAGTAAAGTCTAGAATATCTTATTAGCAGCTACCCCTTGCGCGCTGATCGCAGAATGCATGTAAGAAATTAAAAAAAGAAATTTTGAAATTTTCTAATATAAAATCGTTCGTATTTTGCAGATCTAGAAAGTTCGCTAGTTTCCCTTTCCCCATTCTAAGTCCACCGTTGGCTCCTGCAGAGATTATAGCATGATAGAATTCGATAGAAAAATGAGACGATATTCTCCTAAATGTTGTTTTTCTATTTTTTTTTTTGTTTTTTTGCTATTAGTTCCCTCTGTTAGTAAGGGACTGACTTCGATTACTTAAGGAGATAATAACAATTAAAATTATGAATATTTTATTGCAATAAATTATTTTAAATTATTATTGTAATTCAAACTTGATGCCAATGGAATTTCCAATAGAAATTTAAGTAATGCTTCTTTTTTTTTTTTATAATAAAAATGATTTATTCGTGCACGCTTATCCATAAAAATTGCTCGGATTACAAAATAAAAAAAAAATAGAAAGAAGATATAGAATTAATATATAATATTACAATATTTAATTTCCTGTATTTAAAAAAGATTTATCGTCGCCTTAAGCTAATAATTAATAGCAATAATGAGCCGTTTACATGGTTTACTGATGCTTACAACTTTAATACCTTGGGTTTCGTGCTTACTTACTGAATTATGTGAAAGCCTGGGACAAGTACCAAAAGTTTGTACCGCTCACGCCGGCTGCATGATTGGAACGCATATGAAAGGCTATCAGACGGAAAAATTTGAAGCATTTCTAGGTATACCCTTTGCTTTACCGCCTTTGGGAGAATTACGTTTTAGTGTAAGTAGGATTATTAAGATCTTCGTTCATTGTTAATTATTCGGTTTTCAGAATCCAAAAACCTTTCCTGCATGGACGGGCATATTAAATGCTACCGCTGCAAAAGATGATTGTATACAAAAGAATTATTTACTACCGGAACCAATAATAACTGGTTCTGAAGACTGCTTGTACCTGAATGTTTATAGACCGATGGTAAGAATATAATAAAGTAAACGAAACGCAGACAAGTCTACAGAAACATTGCTAGTAATCGTCTCATTGTAAGCATGTCTAAGCATTTCCGCGCAAGCTTGTCGCAGAGTTTTGAACTTGATCTTCAGTCTAAAAGATTTATGGGCGGAGCTACAGCCTTTTGTGAGTCAGTGTGTTAAGTTTATCGTACCTCCTATGAATATTACTCCTAGAAATTTTATATATTTTATGTTTTATGGATGGGATGAGGCAATGCTTGCTTTGTATGTTTTTATAGTGTCAATGTATTGGTGCCTTCTTTGTTAAGGCTTCGAAGCCTAATACAAAACTCTTTAGAGTTCTTAAAGGAGTTAACATACACCTTACCTACAATATGAGTCCTCAACATAGTTTAAAATGCTTAGTTAAAGATTTGTGAAAGTCGTGACAACAAACATGACATACAACTGTAACATTTAAATGAAATGTTTCTTCAAATAATTAAACGATCGAATTTTATTTTAGCAACGCTCCAGCGAGAAATTGCCTGTTATGGTTTACATATATGGTGGTGGTTGGTTTAGCGGTTCGCCTAATGCTCTTGTGACTGGCCCTGAGTACTTTATGGATAGTCAAGAAGTTATATTAGTAACTTTCGGCTATAGATTGGGGGCGTTAGGTATGATAGCGAATAATGTTCGTTGATTGATTAGAAATCATTTTTCTAGATTCAATTTTAAAGGATTCCTTTCCACTAACGATGCCAATATGCCCGGTAATTTTGGTTTAAAAGATCAGTTATTGGCTTTGAAATGGGTACAAAAAAACATAGCTGATTTTGGTGGTAATCCAAACTTGGTAACGTTATTTGGACAAAGTGCTGGCGCCATATCAACCCATATGCATATGTTAAGCAAACAATCTGAGGGTCTATTTCAGGCTATTATAGCTATGAGTGGCACTGCCAATATGCCTTTCACCATAACCGATAATCCTCTCGAGCAAGCCCGAAAGACTGCTTCGCTTTGCAATATTAGCAATGCTTATGAGTTAAGTACGACCAAATTGGTTAAAGCGTTAAGAAACGTTAGTGTGGCAACTTTATTGAATGCGGGCGATGGTCTAAAATTTTGGCATGTTCATCACATGGTCAACTATCGGCCAGTTATTGAGTCTAGCAAATGGCCGGAAGCTTTTCTAACACAACATCCCAAGGTTATACTAAATAAGGGTAAATATAAGCCTGTACCTGTATTGTTGGGCAGTGTACCGAATGAAGGAGGTATAGCAGCAGTACCCATTATGGAAAATAAGGCTTTAAAAAATTCTTTTAATAAAAATTTTACATCTTTGATGGAGACATTCTTGGAATTTCCCAAACATTTCACTCGTTCCAAATTGGACGAGACAATGTCATTAATTATTGATGAATACTTTCAGGGGCAAACTCAACTGAATGAGAAAACTAATCAAGGTTTTACCGATGTTAGTATATAATGTTATGCACACGATATTTGATAATTTGTGACTAATTGTTTATTACTATGAATTAAATTTAGTTAGTTTCTGAACGTGGCTTCCATCATCCCTTGTATGAAACGATAAAAGCCTATGTGGAAACTGTAGATACCGTAAAATATCCTTTATATTTATATAAATTCAACTATTCAGGCTTGCATACATACGCGACAATTTTCAACGGTGCTAACACCAGCCGTAATTATGGTGTAGTGCACTGTGATGATTTAATTTATCTGTTTAGATCGCCTTTGTTATTCCCTGATATTGATAAAAATTCTATCGATGCTGAAGTTATAAAAACAATGGTCGGAAATTTTGTGCATTTCGCTAAATATAGGTAAGCAACTTATTTCATATGGAGACGCGAATAACTTGAATCAGGAAATCATATTCGAAATTTTATTTCAATAGAAAACCCTTGAATATGGCAAATTGTGAGGTTTGTAATATCAAGACATTTAATCGTCAACCGGAAACAATATGTGACTATCAACACTTCACTAGTGCGGAACCAGGATCGTTTGTTGTTAAGACTGATAACCAATTTAATATTAAACGTATCAAGCTATGGCAACATATTTTGGACGAATAATTTTAATAGATTTGTATTAATTTCTTCTTATAAGTATTTTGTATTGATTTTTTTTATTCTATTTATTATTATTGCATTAGATTAATAAGACATTAAATGACATTTTCGTAAAAGATGTTTTCAAATGCAAGGTGTCAGTTTGTACGGTTTAAGATTTTATATATGTATCTAGGGTTATGCTTTCATTTGTAATATTCACTTACTTTTTATCAAGTTGATCAAGCTGCAATTAATGAAATCATAATAAAAGATATTTTTAATTAGACAAATTATAACGCATTTTTTTAAATATTAGAATATTTTTCCTTGCTCTTGTTGTTGTTTGTTCGTATGAGTTAAGAACTTAAGCATTTGCTGTTTGCACGGAAGATAGATATATGACACATAAATATTTTCTAAGTCATATTATCAATGGCTACATATAAATTTCTGTGCATGACTAAGCACGCAACAGTTTATGGAAGCGCAGGCGCTTATCACCGTAAAATTGAGGCATAATAGCGGATACCAGATACACTATCCTAACAAATATTAAAAAAAAATCAAATTCTCTGCTGCTCTCTTCTTACCTAATTAATCTGCAGAATATTTGAGAAAGATTTCTTGTGTTAGATAGCTAGGTCTGTTATCGCAAATTAGTTCTTCGTTTCTTAATTTATTTTCGTAAATAGTCGTAATCTTGGCATTCGTATGTTAATAGTTAATAAAAAAAAAAAAATTAAAAATAAAATATACTTTCGTACATTGGCCCATGGGGGGATCGAACCCGCGACCTTCGCGTTATTAGCACGACGCTCTAACCAACTGAGCTAATGGGCCATATGCATATTTGTTCACGTTAACGCAATTTAAAGTCAAAGCACTTACATCTATGCAACGTTGAAGTTATATATATTTTTATGGCCATCATCGAAGGAGATAAATGGTAGTATATAAATGATTTGCAACGACCAGAAGAAAGCTTCAGAGATCTTACAAAGTGTATACGTTCTTGATCAGCATCCAATTGTGAATCGATTTAAGCATGCTCGTCGGTCCCTCCGTGTAATGGTTGCGGCAAATATTCCCTTGGTTGTGAAAGTGAAGCTATCGACTCCAAATTTGCAGAAGTATTGCAGGTTGATATTGAAAATTTTCCAAATTGGTTGAAGGCAAGTCCATAGTACCACGTAAACTGAGAACATCTATTGGCGATGCTGTAATATATGCACAAAAATGGTAAAAATTGATTACGCCTACCGAAAATCGTAGTGTATCAAAATATAATCTTTTTCCAATACCCCTATAAAGTGTATAAATTCTTGGCCGGTTTCAAATTCGGAATGCTTTCTGTTCCTCTGCCCATCTGTCTGTCTGTGTAACTGTGTTGTATCGGTGGTAACGATTCTATCGTAAGCGAAAACGACGATATCGCCTACAAATTTTCAAAAGAATTTTGAAGTGATTTAAACTTTCCCAAGGCCACGCCTACACAATAAAAACTTTTATTTTGAAAATAGAAAAAAGCCGCATCAACTTCATATATAGAGAGCATGAAAATTTAATTCTTTTACTTTTGGCCTTTTTAGGATAAAGGTGGTGGGTATAAAAGATTCGGTCACGCCCGAATATAGTTTTCTTGCTTATTATTGAAAGTAAGTAAAATTATTATTTATTTTAATTTATTTATTTTAACCCTTTTGCTACCATAGTCGGGTATAAGTGACGACCAGATTTTCTTACCTGAGCCCGGCTTCACAAATATGTAACGGGTGTTAGCTATCAGTTTATGATAATTGTTATCACCAAATCGTGTCGCACGCAGACGGGTTATGTTATAAAACAATAAAATAGACACAGGATGTTATTAGTTTGGCGATAATTACTTTTTTAAAAAGGATCTGGGAATCACAAACATATGTTACGTGTTCTTTATCAATATTTTTTAATTGGTTACCTTTAATGGCGCCGTAAGTAAATTAGCTGAGTTATAAAATAATAAAGTAGATAACGAATGTTACTGGTCTGGCGATAATTTTTGAAAAGGATATGGGAATCAGAAACATATTCAAACGTGTCCGTTATCAGTAATTTCTCACAGGTTGCACTCAATGGCGCCACAAGTAGATTAGCTGAGTTATAAAGCAATAAAATAGCTGTAGAGGTTTCAGCAAACCTATATGCTCAAGGATGAAAATAATTTTTATCTGTTTAGCAGCGCTTGGACTCACCATGAGGAGAATGCATGTTATTGACCCGAATGATGAAGATGCTGAGGATATCATTTGTGAAGCAAATGAATCAATTGATAATGATATAAATATCTCATCCTGGTCAGCTACTATTTGTGAAGACAATGATGTTAATTATGGTTCAAACGAAGGCATCGGTTTATCTGGAAGTGATATGAATTGGTCGGAAACAAATCTTGATCCCGTGTTACACAATTTCACTGCTCAAGAGAGATTGAAGGTAAATTCATCGGCTGATAGTGCTACTTTTGCTGCATTTCCACTAGTATTTGATGTCTGAAAAAATTGAGCAGTGGACAAATATCCGTGCTGAAGTGTTGGGAACAATTGCATATATATCAGTTTTTAGTCAAATTTAAAAAAGTGGACGGATGTGATAACAGATGCAATGATGGAATATTTGGGAATGTGCATTATGATAGGAAATACCCTGTATGCCTAATTTCAAGTCGTATCATAACATTGATCAAGTGTTGAATCATGTGTTCTAAGCTTCATAATTTATTGTGGAAAGAGTACCGTTAATAGTAATAATAGTCACACGTTACTTGGAAAAGGGTCATATTGTTCATATGAACAACTATTACAACATTCTCCAATTAGCAGCTTCTTTATGCAAAGATAAAACACATGTTGTGGGAACACTTCGAAAAAATTCTAAAGCAATCCCAAATTTGTAATTGAGAAAAAGCTAAAGAAAGGAGAATCAATTTTTACAAGGAGTAGTAATGTATTAGTGCAGAAGTGGAAAGAGGAAAGTGTGCTAACAACATCAGTGGAACATAAAGCGAACTAGCCTTGCACAGTTGCTGATTACAATTTCGGGAATCAGCAGAGAAGATGAAATGATCTCGTGTTAATCTTCTCTTCAGAAATGGACTCTCTGGTGCATTTAATTGACACAAACAGTACGTAGACTTCAGAAATAACCTTGCCAGAGTAAACTACTAAACCACGAGTGGGAAATTGAAGCATCTGCAATTGCGCATACAACAATTTCCTAAAAGGCTTAAAATAAGGATTAGATGCCATAAATGCTCTGCCAATAAAGATCAGACGACTATTACGTATGCCTGAGAAATATGTGAAACAGCTATCGGATTAACAATTGGAGTATGCATAGAACAAAAAGTCTCAAAACTTCTCATGCAAATAATTAACATATTTTTATTTCACTTTGAAAAACGGTTTTTACTTTGTTTTTCCTTTCCCATGTTATGCGACCATGGCTTTGCCAAAAGAATTATCTGTGTACAGCGCAAGGTCACTTATGTGTGCCGGTCTGTAATATTGCTAATTTCACTTAATTTAAACGTCATAGACATATCGTGCAAAAATATTTGGCAAATGGCATCGACTTTAAATAATAAAATGCCTGGGCTGCGATGGCGCTTTTTCTTTAGAGGTTTTCTTAGCGAAAGGGTTAATAAAAAAACATTGGTCATGTGCAATCAAAATCAAATAATACTCTTTGACGATATTAAGAAATTCTCATCATTTATTTCTAAAATCGGAAATATATAATAATTAACAAAATTATTGTGCCCTATATCGCTTGTCAGTAACACCCAGAACGGCTTAAGGAAAGTCCATCTTTTACTCTACCGATCAATTCAGAACCATTTTCTGATCTGAACCTTTACTTTTTGGTTTTCGTTTCTTGTGCTCCACCTACAGGCCTGAATTTTTGAGATAATTTGATGAACGCCAACGAGTTTTGGTCCAAACAGGAACGCCGGTGAAAATAATACGTAATCGGACCAATTATTCGATTACGCTGAAAAATTGCAAACACGCCAAGCAATAGTACTTTAATAATGTATATAGTACGAAAGAGTGATGCGGGTGGGGATACTTTTCAATCCCCCCTCACATAACCGTTCCTAGGAAAGCTGCCTGTTTATGTGATAAAAAGACTTAATTCGTAGCATTCCATGGTGAAAATTAGTTCATAACAGAAGATTGACAAGGAAATCAACCTTACCGAGTTTGGACCACGTAGGTTTTTTTTTTTTGGGTATCACCGCAAAGACCTCATTGTAAATGTTTTGTGATAAAAATTTGTTCGTGAGAGTAATTTGTGCATGAAAATTAAATCGACTAAATTTGAAACACATGCAGCTATTTCTTGGATCTCACTCCATATAAGATTATTCATGAATAGTAAGTCCTGCAGAAAAAGTTTTCAGTTTTAATATTCTGTGATGAAAATTTGCCCATAGTAAAAATGTAGCACAAAAATTAGTGGTAGCGAATTTGGATTAGATAGGCATATTTTTTTAGGCCCCGATATATAAAGGGTTTATCAGGAAAAGCAAGCCATTGTGTGGAAAGAAAGTATAATTTCTAGTTTTTTATGACGGAAACTGAAAAATAAGCGAATTTTTTTTCTTAATTTTTATTTTTTTTTTTGCTATTATTCCCTCCATTGTTAAGGTACTGCCTTTGGTTAATTAAAGAGATGATACAAACTAAACAATTACGAATTTTTCATTGCCATAAATTGTTTTAAATAGTTGTTAAATCAAACTTAACGCCAGTGCAAATTTTCAACAAAAATTTAACTAATGTTTTTTTGTTTTTTTATAACAAAAATAATTTATTCGTGCACGCTTATCCATAAAAATTCCTCGAATAACAAAAAAAAAAAAAAAAAAAAAAACAAAAGTTATTAATATTAATATTAGTATATTTAATTTTCTGCACTTAAAGAGATTTATCGTCGCCTTAAGCTAATAATTAATAGCAATAATGAGCCGTTTACATGGTTTACTGATGCAAATAACTTTAATACCTTGGGTTTCGTGCTTATTTACTGACGAATGTGCAAGCCTGGGACAAGTATCGAAAGTTTGTACCGCTCACGCCGGCTGCATAATTGGAACACATATGAAAGGCTATCAGATGGAAAAATTTGAAGCATTTCTAGGTATACCCTTTGCTTTACCGCCTTTGGGAGAATTACGTTTTAGTGTAAGTAGGATTATTAAGATCTTCGTTCATTGTTAATTATTCGGTTTTCAGAAAATAAAACTTTTCAGAATCCAAATACCTTTCCTGCATGGACGGGCATATCGCTGCAAAAGATGATTGTGTGCAAAAGAACGTTGTTGAATAAATGTTTGAACGTTTATAGGCCGCGGGTAAGATAATAAGAATAATAAAACAAGTAAGAAAGTTCAATTCTATCGGGTTAGAATCTCTTATACCCATCACTGTTTACCCCAAAAAAATACAAAAAAAGTAAAAGAACAAACTTTTCATGCTCTATAATATGGAGTGGGCGCAGCTGATTTCTTCTATTTTCAAAATAAAAGTTATTGTTGTGTAGGCATGTGGGCGTTGTAGACGTGTCCTTTGAAAAGTTTAGGCCAAGTCCAAATTCTCTTGCACCTTTGTAGGCAATATCTTGATTTTCGCTAACGGAAGAATGTTTACTAAAAATACTATAAAGTTGCGCAAACAGACAGTTGGGCAGACGAACAGGCGAACATACTTCGGTGCATATCAAATTTGAAACTGGCCGAGAATGTACGTTTTTCATTCCCTTTGGAAAACAGATGTGTTTTCAGTTTACTTGGTGCTGTAGGAAGCCAAGAAGAAGACATTCCAACGTCTTTGCCAAATTTCAAGCCGATAGCTTCATTTTTGCGGCGAGGAGAACGTTTACAACAGACATTACACAGACGGGCAGATGGTTAGATGGACAGACGGATATGCTTAAATCGATTTAGAATTTGATGTTGATTAAGAATATATATATACTTTGCGGGGTCTCCGATGCTTCCTTCTGAGCGTTGTAAACGATTTGGCAAATGGAATATACCCCTGGTGGGTATAATAACCGAAACCCAAAAAACAAGTCTGCATAAAGCATGTGTAACATTGTTCACCGTTGGTTGACGTAGAGTTTGGAGCTTGATCTTCGGTCTTAAGGACTTACATACAACGCTACAAACTTTTGCTTCAAGCTTTTAATACCTCCGATGGAATTTTAATATTTGTTACCTTCTTTGCAGGCAGGGGTTTGCCGTTTACCGAGAGTGACGTCATTTAAGCATGAAATGTTATGATTTTATAGCGTCAATGTATTAGCCTTTTGCTATTTCGCATCCTAATATAAAACCAATAAGAAATATTAGACAAATTAAAAGAGACCCTGATTTACGGTTCGGACTGCTAATCAATTTATTATTGGACGTATGGCAGCATATTTTGCAGGAATAGTTTTAATAGATTTTTTTTTATTTCTTATATTCATTTACTAAGGCTAACAAGAAGGCGTTTAACACTTTGCGTTAAGACTCAAGGTCAATGATGATGAATAAGTAAAACGTAGCAGATCAACTGTCCTAATAGATATAAAAAAAAAATAATCAAATTCTCTACGGCTCCATACTATTCCAATAAATCTGCAGAAAATTTGTGAAAGATATTTATTTATCAGATAGCTAGATCTGTTATCCAAAATTAATTCTTCGTTTTCCAATTTATTTTCGTATATACCCGTAATCTTGGCATTTGTTAATTAATAGTTTGTTACTAAAAAAAAAACTAAAAAACAAAACATATTTTGTAGAGTGGCCCATGGGGGGATCGAACCCGCGACCTTCGCGTTATTAGCACGACGCTCTAACCAACTGAGCTAATGGGCCATGTGATTACATTCTAACGTTAACCAATATAAACCCAGTTAACTTATTCCCTTGTACCTGTCATCCGTGTTTGCACAATATAAAATCAAATCATATTACATATAAAATTAATAATTAAATCTCGCGGCGAGCATGCAAGTGAAATAAACTTATTAAGTGCTTTTGTTTGCTTAATATTGACTCTCAAATTATGATCCCCTTGTTGTGTCAATATAAATTCATGTTAACGTTTGTTGACCTTTACCCACTTTTTTTGAAGATATTTCTTATAATTTTGGTGAAGAGTTTTCGGCGAAAAAGATTTCTGTCAAAGTATTTAGTCGCCCTTCAGGGGTACATAATCAAAATAATAAACATCATTAAAGGTACAAACTATAAATTTTTTACCCACGAGAGTAAAAATGATGAACATTTCAATCAAACTTGCTAAGTACATATAAGCTTGAAATTAACGGTATATTTAATGTAAAAGATAAATAACAAAATAGTAGCATTTGCTCCTATTAAGTAACGTTAAGTACATTCAATTGCTTTTTCTCTGCAACTTTTAGCAGTTTTTTTTTCTTCATATTACCTTTTTGTAACAAAGATTTTACTCACTTTTTCATTTTCAAGCACAATGGTACTTACATTTAGATGGTTTTGGTGTACAGCAGTTCTTCGCTTCATGAAATCGTGTATATGTACATTTTTGTACGGCGAATTCCGTTAATATCACCTTCGCTACTGTTCACTAGACTCTGTTTCAATGGTCGAAATATTACAATGGATTTTAATATCTTAAGACGTTAAAATTATGTCTGCGGTTGGTGATTGTGGGGAAACTAAGAATGTAGATGAGAAGCTGTTCGTGATGCTTTAGAAGGATTATTGGAAGTTGATAATAAGTGACACATAATAATCGCACACCCATATTACGAAGCAACTTGTATTTAACTATACAAACTATAGTCTAAGCTTAGCTGTGGAAAGTATGGAGCCCAAGCTATGGATAAAATATCCTCTATTTTTATTGAGTTTTCATACATATGCTACAATGCATAGAGTCAACTACAGCGATTTTTAGAAAGGAAAAATATGTTGAACACAGAATTTGCATGAAATTTTGTCAAAAAAATCTTTTACGGTGACGAGTGTATGTGGAAACGTAAATCTTTTAAGTGGCATAAATCATTTAATGAGTTTTATGAGGTAGCCGAAGATGAACCTCGTTCAGAAACAGCATCAACCTACTGAAGAACATATGAAGTGATATTCACATCAACAAAATGACAGGGGTTCTTAACCGCCGATTGATTCAAAAAGATTTCATAGGTCCTTCGAGGTATACTAAAAGCATTAATACGAACAACTTTGAAGAATGATTTGAGCTTGTCTCGCTTGTCCTCGTCTCGCCTTGTTCCCGAAGTTATCAACTTATTTTGTTGAAGTTTCAAAAGAAATATTTGGTGTAAGTGATAACAATCTAAAATGTATAATTACTGACGATGAATGTAATGCCACAGGTGAACAAAAAAATCACTGACAACAATATTGTTTAAGCAAAGAAAAAAAAAAAAA